GATATAATTTTAAGATACACAGGAAACTGGAAGCGAGATAATAGTTATTTTTAGTTACTCATAACATAGGGAGAACCAAAATAGCTTTAGATAAAAAGAAATCCAGAGATACTTCGAATATCCCTTACTGGTCAACAGCTTTATAATCTTTTCCCTACTAGCCAACCCATAAAACTACAAACAAGACAAGCTGCCTGGCTTTGACCATTTACTGATGACCTCTCTAATGGATATTATAAAAAGCAGTGAAAACCAAGAAGCAGAATAATAAAGAAACTAAGGGCCCAGATAATCTACAAATCTGATAATCATACCATAAGCTCAATTGCTCTAGGTAGTCAGTAATACAGATACTACCACTGACATTTTAGCAGAGCAAATAAATAGAACGCATCCCTTAGTCACAGAAGTGTGACTCATAATTGAGAAACATGTATGATAACCACCCACAAATTCCCCCCAAACTAGATGCTCAGCACAGATAGGCAGATAGCTCAAAATATAAAGGCATGCAGTGAAGGAACAGCTAGAGTTGGAGCTACCACATCATTCAACACACATTTAGTAAGTGCACATTATCACAGGCAGTGAAATGCAAAGATAAACAAGGCGGCCTCTCCTCAAGAGGATAACAGTGTTGTTGAATTTACATGTAAACAAGTAATCATGGCTCACCATGATGAGCGCAGTAGATATATCTTAGAGTGAAAAAGATGGGAAGAACCTGGGAAGCATCTGGAAGTCTTCACAGAAGATGCAGTAGAGTAGAAAGCATTTCAGAGTCAGACAAGGTTAGAAACCAGTTCAGCTGCTTCCTAGTAATGTAATTTGGCCAATTATTAAAGCTTTCTAAGACTTGGCTTCTTGATCAACAAAATGAGGATAATAATGTATTTGCAGCAAGCTTATTACAAGAAGGGAAGGAGATACTGTGTGTAAAGCAATCAGCATGGTCTCTTGAAAATAATAAGTACTGAATAAATTGGACCGATGATGATGATGATGATGACGATCTTGAAAGAAGTTACCAGCGATGCCTGGTGGCCAGTTAGCAGTAGTCATTGTATCACTGTCACTGGCCTCATCACCTTGTTGGGTTCACATGTATTATGTTCAGTCTGAATTAATACATTAGCTATGGGCTACCTACAACTGGGAGGACAAACCAAGCAATGTAGTTTCAAGAGTCACATTCGCGAGCCACCTACTTTCTATAAGGTAAGAATTCATTAAAGAAGAATATGGCAAGATTACTACCTTAGTGATATCAACAGGAAGGCAAACTCTGTGGACATTATATTAGTCAACACACATAGTAGCAATTATTAGTGTATCTGAGTAACACATTATTTCCAACTGTTAACACATGGTAAACATGGAATGAGAAAAAGTGAAACTTTCAGGAGTATAAAATGTCGAAAGAAATTACAGGCTGGCCAGGAGGCATCACCAGCGTACTGAAGGGAGGAGAGAGCAGGGATGTACTGGGAGAAGCATCTGAGAACCCTGTAGAGCCAAGCCAAAAAGCTTATCTTTAGCCTAGGGGTAATGGAGAGGCATCACAGACTTTAAGATGAGATAAAATATTTTAATCTATCATTTAACCTATTGTTTCTACTTTCCACCCAAATTGAGTCAGTATTACATAAGCTCATTATCATGTTTCTTCAATTCCAGAGTGTTTTTTGTATATACTTGAGCTATCTCTTGTGAGCTATACAGTCATTTGAAATGAATCCCATGTTGTTTAAAACAGTGAAATGCTAAAAATAGGTTTTGTAGATGTTGCAGACACTTGACTGCCTGCCTGACTGCCTGCCTGTTAGGGATTAAGAATTCTCTCTCCCTTCCATTTATTCACTACACATTTTTTCAATATCTGCTATATAACATGCCACATATAATACTAGCTCTTGATAAAACCTTTAAAGTGCATCCTATGTTAACTATAACATGCATCTTTTGTTCCTATAAAGATTTAATAAAGTGGGTATCAGTAGATCTATTTTTCCACACCACATTTTTATGATAGAAAGTTGGGTGCTTTCCTTTAAATGATTACCCCTTTAAACTGTTCAATAAAAAAATGGAAAGTTTTAAGCTGGTAAAAGGGTTTTAAAAACATCTCAAGAGTGAGGTGAATGTGAAGTGAACGGGTGAAGAAGGGAAACAGCCGACTGAAGTGCTCTATAATTGAAGCCTGTAGCGTGAAGCATCTTCTAGAAACACAAGAAAGATGGGTGCTGCCAATGTGATTGTCCAGAAACCCTCACTGTAAGGGCATTAAAGCATCACAGTAGTTATTTCAAGAGTGGGTCCCTTCTATCTGTGCAGTTTAAAGTAATCCCCGCCTGCCATTCACTGGTGGTTTTTATTTTGCTTTCATCTTTTCTCCAGTTTTCTTTTTTTCTTATTGGTGAACACTCTTCACACTCTTTAGATAAGCCGAGCAATTTCTTTAGAGTGGTCTAAGCCTAGCAAGAGGGAAATGGGGAAATATAATGTATTGGCGGGTGCAAACCGAGGCTCTCCAGGTTAGGGCTCCCTTCCCTGATGTCCTTCCCACCCTGGGAAGCCAGTGGAGCCTCTGGAGATCAGTGATCTGCCTGTTATATAAGCATGTGCTTGTGGAAGCTGAAAACTCTGGGCTCTTCCCCTCATGGGGGACAAGAAGAACTGCCAAGGTGTGAAGGTTTTGTCTCAGTGACAAAAGCAGACCTTAAAAGCTCTTACTTTTGGATGGTGTGGGTCTTCAATTCTTGCATGCCTTCACTTGTTTCTTTTTCATGTTTCCTTTGGATTTCTTTCTCCCTTCATGTGGCACAATAGAACTGCTTAAAAGTACACAGAAATGTACTCCCTGCTAATAAGGTACACAGGAATGAGTCGCTTTCTTTGGGACAAACTCTCGCCTTAGAAACTCATTTACTTTGTCATCTTCTACTGCCTCTTCTGGACAGAAATGCTAATACTTCAAAGACTACAGAGGGGGAGCTACAATTTATTTTATGAAGAAGGCTCTTCTTTTATTCACTCCTCGATTGAGCCATTCCTGGGTAGGGTAGAATCAGAGATGGATGTGACTAGGTCCTTGACTCAGAAAAATGACAACATAGGAGGAAAATGACAAGAAGAAGAATTTTAAACAGGTCCTATTATGGCAATCAGAACTGATCATTCTAACCACAATCTATGAATTAAACATCTGATGTTTTCCAGGTAAAATGTAAAGCTGTATTTATCATCTTGCGTTGATTTTTCAGACATTCTCCAAGGCAGCTATCTATTCAGAAGTCAACAACTAGCACTATTGTAGGTGCTGAGCATTAGGACTTGCTATAAACATGGTATTAATTTTTGCAATCTTCCAATTTTAGTTTAAGTGCTCTATTTATTGCAAGAGGTACGTGGTTAGTCATCTCAGGGCCAATAAATAATTCTTTCCTCTTATTTTTACTCCTTACCTGAGCTTCTCTGACTCTACCCACTATGGTTCCTTCGATCCTTGACAAAACTTAATGTTAATTGATTAGATATTGGTAGGACTTACTTCCCTTCCTACTCGCCCCGTATCTGGCGTGTGTCCTGGTTTTCATAATGTATGTCTCGTATCTACTGCAAACATGTCAAGACCACAGTAGTCTCAGCATATTTGCTTTTTACAGATAATCATTTGCTTTTTCAAGTGTTGAATCGGAGTCAAGTAAAAACTGACATGCCTGTGACTTACTTTTAAATAGCAAATCAAAACTGCCCCACACTGTCCAAAGTACCCAAGTCCTCATATAAATTGCATACTTTTACTAAAAAATCTGGCTAGGAAAATGTAAATAACAAAATTGAAATTACTAAATTTCTTCATGACATACTTCTAATTAACAATCAGATGGCTGTCAACTCTGTTTTCAGAATTTCTAAAATAATTATTGATATTAGGGAGGCTTTTCAGCAACAACCTTAACAAGTATAGGCCTCAAATCAAATCAACAGAAACAGTCTTTTAAACCTTTGAATATTCATTTCCATTTATGCATTAAATTTCAGCAACTATACTTGCTTTTAAATTTTTGGAGTGTTATTTTTCTGCACACACTAACTGCAAAAAACACAACTGATTAAAAATATAAGTGATCTATTTTTATAATTTACCTATGACTTCCAATAGCACTTACTAAATTTCTGATTCATAACTGTAAGCCTAATATAATTATTTTATACTACACACTAGAGTCACGGATCCTAGCATATGCTTTCTCATGTACATGACTGCTCCCTGTCCATATTCCCTGCTCATGTTTACTGTGGCATGTGTCATCAGGTGCCACAGTCAGCTGTACGTGCGGTCTACCTTTCTAGTTTAATGGTGAGCTACGTGAAGGGAAGCCTCCTGATCTGTGGAAGGTATAAAAATGAAACCAAGGATCTCAAATTATTACAACTCCTCTTTTTACAGTGATTACAAGAGAAGCAAATGGAAGAATAACGAACCCCGTGTTTGACTCAACTCACCCCTAACTATCCCCTGGCAGAGGGATGGAATTTATAACATCCTCAACCTTGTAGCACACTATCCTACTGACAGGGCTAATAGTCACAGAACAGGTAATGTGAAGTTCGCTGTTAGATGCAAAATTAATGCAATGTGTTAGCAGCCCTGAACTAGACAAGGGTTGTAAATGGAGGAACTGAGGCAAATGTATGCACTGGAAAACCAGAAGGCTGCAAAAATAATAAAACTAAACAAAAACACAAAGAACTGTCACAAGATGGCAAGTACTGGAAAAGCTGCGCAACAGTAATTAACGGCGAGGAAGGGAAACAAGATGTGCACACTGACAAAGAAGGGGATCTGAAATTCTCAATTCACTCTTGGTAACATGGGACCACACAAAAAAGTGAAAGTGGTTTTAAATGAGGCTCATGTGATAATGCTGAGGCTGCCACATTGTCTGGGTTGGTTTGTGTCTGTGTCAGCATGGAAATGGGGTGCTTTTCCTTACCTCCAGATGCTCTAAAATATAGGGCGGATTTGTCATGCCAAGCCTCAGCATTGCTCCCTCAGGAATCACTTCAACCAGTTTCCACAGGAGTGCGGGGAGATCAGTGCCAATATCTCTGCCATAAGCTCCTGTGTCTTCACTGGTCAACCATATCTCACAAACACCCTCTGTGAATCAAAGGAGATAATTAACAAATCTGCTGCAGAGCTGCTTCCTTCATCATACAGCTGCTCACTCTTTTCAATGCAGTCTTCTCAGCATTATTATGCAGGCAGTCTGTGTATTCAATTGCAGGAAAAAAAGCAGCTTATCCCATGGAGGCACTGGGTTATTAAGCTCATTTTATGAACACCAAAGAGTTACAACAGTATTGTAAATTATCAGTGTGTTCTAAGGAACGATTAACATTCAGACCCAAGTAGTTCAGCCATGTTTTCTTCCAAGCACTTTGATCAAGTCTAAAGCTTCGGTCCCGTCGCAGAGAATACCTATTCCATGGAGCACCACGGCCCTGGAACTGAGCATCACTCCACAGCACAGGCACTGTCCCCACTTAGCTCACTCATCAGTCTGTTACCAACTCCAGGAAAAATGTCAAGGGTAGTTAAGGTTTAACTCGCAAATTATTAATTATGCAGTATCTACTTCTCCTGTAGTAACTATCTTATTTGTGTTTTTGAGTCAATTAAGAATAGAGTGCATCATATGGCTTTGTTCGAAGAAGTTGGTCCCCGTGTGTTTGTGTTGCAAAACCTGGCTACTGACAGTTTGCATCCTATTTTCCATTAATCAGACCTTAGGAACATGTATATGTGTTTTATTGCTATCGTTGTTATAAACAATCTCAACTTCAAATATTACAGCCTACAATAACTTCCTTCCAAAAATCAAAAGGAAATATTTTGGGATAACTTAGTAGTATTGAAAATGAATAAAACAGACTCAGCAGAGGCCACCCAGGGTTGCATGGCACACAGAACATTTCTGAACGCATATTCAATTAAAGGAGTAGACTATTTCAAAAGGCCAAATGATTCACAAGTCTCAATGAACAATGAAATGGGCCTGTGCAATTTGTTTGTGATGAAGTGATTTACTGCTTCCGAAGAACCTCAACACTCACAAGGCACACAAAGGAAGACTACAGCCTCAACCAGAAGTATAAGCTTCTGGGAAGCAGCTCAAAATTATAATTTTAAATTGTCTTCGGTTGACGGAACAGAAGATTTTCTAAAATACATTTAAATATTCCTAGCAAAGAAAGACAACAAATAAAACACACTGCTTTTTTGTGAATGTGAACTTAAAACTAACAGAATACAGAAGCAAAAGGATCTTCATTCTCCCTAGTGTGTTCCACAGAGGCTGAGAAATAAATATGAGGTTAAGAACACCGATCATTATTCTTTCCTTTAGAATAAAAGATATATTTACTATATCAAAAAATTAGGCAAGCCACACAAAAATATGTTCTCTTTCCCCACCTGTCTTTCTGTGACAGACACGTCCTCTCCTACACCTAAGCAACACAGAAAATACGAGTGTAGAAATAGGATTTTTGTTACCTGAAATTAAAGAACCAATGACTTGGCAAAGAAAACAACAGATAACAACAACAAGAACCTCCAGTTAAAAGGTTGCACACATGTTTAGTATCTGAAAAGCAGCAGTGTTATGAATATGTAAGTTTTCTTAATGTACATATGTAGTTCCAGAAATTAATAAAACTTTGCTTAGTTTTAATAATTTAATAAAAATTGTATACTCAAAAGAAACAGTCTCGCATGTTTAAAGGCTCCCTTTGTAGTCTTGTAAGTTTATAAATATAATTTTATAAATATTCTCTGTCCATGGAGTAAATATAGTTCAACTAAAAAAAATGGATTGCAATTAGTGGCATCATCTTTGTTTTAATATTACATATGCCATCAAACACTGGACTCATACAACCTTTTCTCTTTTAAATCTTATCACAAAATCCACTCCAGGAAAAGAGATGGCTAAGTAACAACATAAACAGATTTTAAAACACTCTGAAAGAGGTTATAAAAACAGGACATTATCCATGATTTTCCAGTTACTGGCATTTGAGCAACACAATATGAATATTTTAAAATGAACAGAATAATTTTAATTTATAATTTTTCCATCCAAATGGTTCCATGTTACGCCTTATGTAGAGAGAGCAAGTTCCTGGAACAGTGCCTTGCTGTTGCTAGATGAATATAGAAGGGGAAAAATCACTATGAATAGGAATGGAAATAACATCCAAGCAGAAACAGCAGCCAGCTCTAAAGCTGCATAGGTGGGGACCAATAGCCCCCTGGTGGGCTGAAACTTCAAATTAAATCACATAAAGAGGAAGCAGCTGTAACACTAAATCAGTAACAACAGGAATAATGGTCTTGATGTCTCCAAGATCAAGGCTGCTAAAGTGCTCTATATAATAGCAACCTGGCAAAAAACGCAGTGAAATGAGAGAACGTGTGCAAAACGTGAAACCCATGGACTCCAGGAGATTGTGCCTGGCCAATTCAATCCAAAAATTTGTCAAAGATAATTTTGCTCTTAATGTGAGAAAGTTCAGATTTTGTAAGGTTATATTACAAGCCTGAATTCTAATGAGAGCTGATCCCTCAAATAGTTGGGATTTAGAGAGTCATTTCATACTAAAGGTGAAGCTAAATATGGACTCCCCATGCCTGACATCCCTTTCCCTAGAAAGTCTCGTGATTACTCATAGTGCAAGCAGTTCCTGTCAGGTCAGCTCGCATATGAATTCACCAGGGAAACTGAAGGCGGCAGTCTGTAATCACTAATGGACATTGGGACACATGCATGCTTCCATGTGCACACTTAATTGGCTATACTTATGGACAGAAGTGCTTGCCTAAACAGCTTCATTCCTTAAGGACCTCAGTTATGAGCTATATTCCTTTGCACATTCGTTTCTTTATTCGTCCTTCAAACATTTATGAGGCTGTTGCCTACTATGTGCCCCACAGCAATTCCAGCTCATGACAGATATGGATTTATCATTAAACTTCTGTGATCTAAGATTGGCTATTTAGGAACTGGCAAGGGGACAGTGACAGACATCCTGCAAACTCACAGACATTCCTAACTGTGGTGGTGGTGGTGGTGTTGGGGTGATGGGGTGGTGGTTCTTGAAGAATGTAGCCTTAAAAACCAAAATGAAGAGCAACTAGGCTGCTGGACATGGACATGATGTCAGCCCCAGTGAGACAGGCCCTGTCTGCAACATAATGTGGACTTTGATTAATACACGTCAGAAAAACAAACACATGGAAATGAAAAAGAGAGGCAAGAGGAAAAACTGAGATAAGAGAAGTGAATGTCCAGTAAAACCTCCCATGCCTGTCAAAATAAATACATGCAAAAAAAAAAAAAAAAGTAGTGGCTGGAAAAGTGGGAGACAAAAATTAGTTTCTTTAAGTGACCAAAGAGAAATTTTACTTTTTTCTGAAATTGTTCATCTACCTGCCTTTTGTTCATTTTTTAAAAATTGTTCAGTTGATCTGACTTCTAATGAACCTCAGGTTCATCAAATCATCTACCTTTGTGTTGTGTTAATTTTGGTAAAAAGAAAAGCAAATTCTAGAGAGAAATAAAACATCTTGTAATTAAAAAAAAAGACGCTTTGACAAGTTTAGTTATTAGACTCCATTATCATTTTACCCAAGTCATGACTGATCAGCCTACAGTTGAAACACAAAGCTCTTTTTCCCTGAACAGAGAGCAATCGCAACCACTGGATGGTGATCTTCGCTCCACAGTCATTTGAGATGACAGAGGACGGGAAAAGGCGGAGACATACAAGGTTAATAATAAAAGAAAATTAATTTTCTCAACAAAATATTCTCATAAAAAATCCTGTTTGAAAAATAAAACTTTGCAAAAAACTCAATTTCAAAAAATTACGATTCACTATAATTTTCTTATGTATGAGCTTAATTATAATACATTAAAATATGGATGAAGATCAATATCATCTGGTCAGAGAAGTGATATTTCTCTAGTAGCTCTCGCTTTACTAAGGGGGACAATTTCCACCATACTACGTTGTTTCAATTATTCCATTACGAGTAATCTCTTAAAATATGGCTTACAAAAATGTGAACACTGTACCAGGGGTGTCCAACTTTTTGGCATCTCAGGGCCGCACTGGAAGAAGAAGAGTTGTCTTGGGCCACACATTAAATACATTGCAAGACAAAATAACAAAAAAAAAGTCTCATGATGTTCTAAGTAAATCTATGATTTGTTTGGCTGCATTCGAAGCCATCCTGGGTGGACGGGCCCACTGGCCACAGGTTGGACACCCCTGTGAGTGTAAACTATGATTAATGGGATCAATCAAGAGCACTACATGGCAAGATAATCTGTATCAATTAAACATAATAAAATCACCTCAACATCTGCTAAATCTTTGCCCTGACCCAGGTGACTCAGTTGACTGGGTGTCATCCTGCAAAGTGAAAAAAGGTCACTGGGTGGACGCCCAGTCAAAGCACATGCCTGGGTTGTGGGTTCTATTCCCAGTGAGGGTGTGCTCAAGAGGCAAGCAACTGATGTTTCTCTCCCTCTTTCTCCCTCCCTTCCATCTCTGTAAAAAAATAAATAAAATCTTTTTTAATGTACTAAATCTTTGTTCCTGAGAAGATGTGTTCACTCTGGTCTGCCTTCCGCTCTCCATCACCCCCCCCCCCCCCCTTTCCCTTTCTCCTCTCAGTTCTGTCCTCTGTTCCCCACCAGCCCACCAACCCATTCCAGCCTTCACGCTCCATCTGCTTCAAAGGCCCATAAGGAATTTAAATTCAATGTACATTATGTTCTATTTACTTAATGTGCATTAAATACTCGGTTCTTAATTCCTGATGCTCTTTTTTAAGGGTAACAGTGTATATTAACTACATTTTTACAGGTTCATTCTTCTTAAAAATGATTTTAGACAATTCAAAAATAAATATGAACCTCTGCTTAAACATGTGTAAGGTTGTGAAAATTAATTTGATGGAAATGTTTCTAGGTAATAATATATATAGGCAGCTCTCAGTTATGTAACTTATTTAATAGCAAATTAGACAATAGGACTCCTATGGTCCCTTCTAATTCTATTACTAGACACACAAGGGTTTTATGTTTT